CAAACGCCTTGCTGAGTTTTCCGTTGTGGATCACTTGACATGTGCCGTTGTCGTACAGCTGTTGAATAAGGTTGATGAACATTTGGGGCACGCCGTAGTACTCGAGTAGTTTCCAAATTACTTCGCGGTCAACGCTGTCGAAGGCCTTCTCAAAGTCTATAAAGTTGAGGTAGAGGTTTGATTGCCATTCCATGCTTTGTTCGATGATGATGCGTAGAGCTGCAATTTGGTCAGTACATGATTTGCCTTTCCTGAATCCAGCTTGTTCTGGTCGGAGTTCTGTCTCCAGTGCGTCCTTTAATCTCTCCAGGATGATGCGACTCAGGATTTTACTTGGCGTCGATAGGAGCATGATTCCTCGCCAGCTCTTGCAGAGTGAGGCATAAGTCGCACTTCTTTGGTAGTTTCACGAGGTAACCTTTCCTCCAGTCAGTAGGCACCTTTCCCTCCTTCCAGACCTTTTGCAATAATGGAGTCAGCATGTCTGCTGTCGTCTCTGGGTCTGCTTTCAGTGCTTCAGGGGTTATTCAATCTGGTCCGGCTGTTTTTCCAGCTTTCAGAAGTTTGATTGCATTCAAGACTTCAGCTTTCGTTGGAGGATTGGTGTCAACTTGCAGTTGTGTGCGCGCTGTTGTTGGCATTTCTGGACGGGTTGCAGGTGGTGGTCTGTTTAAGAGTCCTTTGAAGTGATCCGCCCATTGTTTAATCTGTTTTTCTACCTTGGTAATGGGCTTCCCTTGGCTGTCTTCTATAGGTTTCTCTTGTGTTGATCTCTTCCCGGATAGAGATTTGGTTATCTGGTATAGTGTCCTCAGGTCCCTTTTGCCTGCTGCCTTCTCATCTTCGGTAGCGAGGTTGTCGTAGAATCGTCTTTTGTCCTTCCTAGCACTTTTCTTCACTTCTTTGTCCAATGCTTTATAAGTTGAGCTCAGCCTCTCCTTCTCCTGTCCGTCCTTGCATTGAATCATTTTCTCTTTCACCATTCTCCTCTCTTCTATTAATTTCCAAGTGTCTGTTGAGAGCCATTCCTTGTCTTGTCTGCTCTTTCTTCCTAGAACCGTTGAACACGTTTCGTTGAGAATCGCCTTCAGAGACTTCCAATGTTCTTCCACGCATGATTCTTCAGTGATGTCGCGTAGTGTTTCCTGCTTTGCTCTGACAGTTGCAGTGAAGGTGTCTTTTGTGGTTGTGTCCTTCAGTAATTGAGTGTTGACCATCGATCTTCATCTATCTTTATTACTTTTAAGAATTGTAACTCTGTCCCACTCTATTGTGTGGTTGTAAGTTAATGCACGTACTGTAATAGTTGAGTTTCTTTTCTAGATTGCTTATCTTCGTGAGGTCAATCACATTCTACACTTGGCTAAATTCTTATGTTCCGATAATCTAACCACCTAGGATCTACTGATTTTACCTATGTGGTTGACCTAACTCAGAGTCAATGCAAGCTCTTTGTAAATTATATGACTTTGTCTAGTTGGATCAATAGAATCTTTTAATCTACAGAGGTTATCCACTCTGGGTAAGTTTGTAGGTTTAAATGAGACCCTACTAATAAATAATTAAGTTGTTCTCACAGTTAAATCTGACTTGTGTTTATCTCTGTGTGGAGTGACCAATTGGTTACGGTGTCAAGTCAGGAAGCCCACTGTAGTTACGATGTTTTCCATCTTAACCTCGGAAGAGTAGTTCACTTGTCGCTTTCCATTGGGATTCCACTCGAGCAATGGACTGTATTGAGCATGATGTCATTCGACAGCCTTCTCAACGTATGCCCTATCCATCGCCATTTTCTCCTATATTATTTATTATTATTGCTCCCTTGGGTTCCTAGTGGAACATAGGGCTTCAACTGCACGTCTCCATTTGCTTCTGTCTTCTGCTATACTTTTCGCCTGCATCCATGTTAATCCACCTTCTTTCAACTCCTCTTCACACGATCTCCTCCATGTCACCCTTGCACGTACCACACGCCGCTTCCCTTTCGGCCTGGTTCCACTCGAGGGCTTGGCGCGCGATATCACCCAGTGGCCTCCTCAGCGAGTGTCCGATCCATCTCCACTTTCTCCTGCATATTTGTTGGGCGATTGGTTCTTGCTTTGTTTGTTCCCATAATTCCTTGTTGGTGATTCTTTCCGACCATCTGATCTTCAGTATTGAGCGAAGACAGTTGTTAATAAAGGTCTGCAACCTTTTGGAAATATTCTTTGTGACCCGCCAAGTTTCTGATCCGTATAGAAGAACTGACTTTACGTTTGTATTGAAAATCCGAATTTTGTTGGTGATGCTGAGTGACGAAGATTTCCAGAGTGATTTCAGGCTGATGAATGTGTTTCTCGCCTTCTCGATTTGACATCCTCGTCCGCTCCTCCTGTAGTTGAGACAATGCTCCCTAGATAAGTGAATGAAGTAACCTCTTTCAAATCCCTCCCGTTGATGGTGATTGACGTTGGATGTTGTTGCTGTTGTTGGTTAGTTATTTTCATAACCTCCGTCTTGTCTAATTCGTTGAAGTTTCTGTAGCGATTTGGTTGTTTTACAGGGGTGGAGTTGCTAGCATCACGCCCCAACCCTCCCTCTTTACCCGGGCTTGGGACCGGCGAGAAAACTAGTAAGCTAGTAGCCTAGCAAGCTAGTATCTGGCGAGGTTCTCCTATATAATTATGAACAATAAATAGGCTCTTGGTTGATTGGCTGTCAGCCAGAGTTTCTTGTTGCTAATTATTTCAGGAAGGTTGGCTGGTCAGAGCGGGGGCAGTCACGTTGGATAACAGCCACAAAACACTAACACTCCTTCATTATTTATTATTATTCTATTCCTTCACATTCCCAGTGGAACATTGAGCTTCGAGATACAGACTTGAAGTTCCGGTAGTGGTGGTGTTTATTTTTACGGGGTGTGGTTGCTAGCTTCATGCCTTACCTTTCCTCTTAACCAGTCTTATCCCCGGCTTAGCGAGGCAAAGGAATGCATCGACAGAGGGGGGATGGAACCCCGGACCAAATGTGAGGTTGATCGCTAAGCCACCAACGAAAACACTCCGTTATACCACTTGCAAATATACCCGGGTTTTGCTTTGTTCAAACAGTCAATTAATTTTGTAGCTAACGGAACTTTAAAAGAAAGGACATACGCCTTAAGAAAAAAACACCTCAAAAAGATAATAACAATTAGGTTATATTTGCTAGCTAATCAAAAAATATAATCTGAAATCAGGACAAGCGCATTCATAAAAAAAACGTATTAGCCTTGTGTAAACAAAACCTACTTACCGAGACTTAGCACTTCATATCATCACTTAACGAATGCAAGGCTACTCGATTGCTTGATTGATTATGTTTTACACGGATAAAGACTGTTTAATGATGAAATTAGTTTGAGAAAATTAATTAATGAAATACAGCCATAGTGTTCAAATATTGGTTTGTAGGGATTTGAGTGGTTGGTTTCAGGATTTCATCATGAGCTGACATTTGTTAGAGAACCATTGGAAAACCTGGGAGTACTAGACAGCTGTTCCGTCCTAGTTTTGGACTCTTCATCAGTACGCACCCACCGCCATCGTTCGAACACTGGACCTTCCGGGTACAAGGTGAGCTCGCAGACCATTAAGTCACTGGGACCTGATCCAATGGCCAGTCCATGAATTCTAACTTCTACCGATTCACGATACGGCGCAACCACTAGCCAATGTCTTCGGCGAGTATTTTTCCTGACACCCAACCGGCTGCACCCTACTGGTCACGACTTCCCATTGGAACGCCAGATAACTACCTACCTGTAACCTCTAACCAATGTCAGCTCATGATGAAATCCTGAAACCAATCAACCAAATCCCTACAAACCAATACTTGAATAACAATGAAATGCTCACTGGCGACTGGCCCTATTCAAGTAGAATCCCAAACTAGGACAAAACAGCTGTCCATTACTCCCAGGTTTTCCAATAGTTCTCTAACCATACATACAAAAAACAACCATGGTGAGTTGAAGGCTATAAATATATAGTGAATGAAACCACACGTTAAGCAGTAACTGGCATCCATAGAGAAGCACTAGACCTGTTTCATGAGTTTCAGGCATATATATACAACTCCCAGAGAACTAATTCCATTTCGGGAACTTGGGTCAGGGTTACTGAATAAAGATATTAAAAGTTTTACATCTGAGTTATTCAGGCGACAATTGAGCCTCTGTATGACTGTATTGGATATAACATTGAATAACTGGTTCAAACATAGAACTTTACACAGAAGTACACTAGTTTTGAAGGTGACACCATTCAGGTAGAACATAGGAAAGACTAAAGAGATTCGAAGGAAAGATAATAGGCAGAAATGTGAGGGAGAAAGAGGAATAACAAGGAGTGACCAACACCAACTGGAAAGCTGGTAACTGACACACTGGTCTCAACGTAAAACTTTGCACAGAGGTGCAGCAGTACGAGTCACCACACCACACAGCACACAAAGCAAGAAAAGAAAGTAAAAAGGAACGCAAAATAGAGACAGTGAACAGAGACGTGAGACAAAAGGAATAGTAATAACGAAGAACAATATAGTTTCATTGGAAATTATAAGTCAAAAGGAGTGGATGCATCTGCGCCGAACGATTTTGAGCCATATCACCACAAATTATCTCCAACCATCACTGGTTTTTACTGTCCTGAGGACCCCAGCCATCCAGGAAGTCTATACCTTTCTACGTGGCTGGCTGGCTTAAACTAACTGTTGTGGATTTCACTGATTAATGAAGCCATGTTTTCGCTTGGCAACCACTGGGTAACTCTTCTCCATCCTGTTCCATCCTATGTCAGTCAGCTAAAATTTCGCGTCAAGGAAGGAGATGCTGACGGCAATACTACTGAAACATTAAGGCTTACAGCTTTAAACTTTATATTCCGATCGCAAACGCAAACAACTTAAACAAAATTATATCCAAAGTAATAGCTTAACTTTCTGAAGACCAAAAAACCAAAGCAAACAAACAAACAAATTACCGGCAAACTAGCATAGGTGCTCCAGGTGCAGATCTTGGCCAAAATGTACGTCGTTCAACAGGGAATTCACAGCGTTCCGTTAAATGATCTGTTAAATCCAGGTAAGCTTCGTCTAAACTAACAGCAGAGAATGGTATAACATCTGATTCACAGGAATCTTCTGTTGTCGTATTCTTTTCTGTAGAAGCATATTCCATTAATATACCACGGACTACACGACTAGTGGCAATGTATTTAGCAAAATCACAGGGGATAATTTTCAATTGGGGACAAAGTTTTTTGCCTAGAAATCCAGGTAGACCAGCGCGTACACCATATCGTCGAGCGATATAATTACTAGTGGACTATTTGACAAAAAAAAGAAATGAATATATGAATTAATTAATTCCACTGCAAGGTTGGGGGATTTCACAGTTAAAAAAAAAATTACAACACCACTTTGAAAAGAATCCTATTCGTATAGATTAAACTTTCTACTACTTTTCTCTTATGAACTCTAATGATACGATATTAGGACAAAATATTTAGAGTGAACAACTGTGGTTTCAATAAATGCTTCCTTCTTCAGGCTCTACAATTATAAATCCATTAATTTAAGTACAGAAGAAGACGTAGTCGAGCTCGGCTACGTCTTAATACCAGAAGACCATCTCTTTGCATATAGAAAGAAGTATGTTCAACCTCTATGTTTATCTTCGCCTACAATGAAGCCAACAAATCCTCCATAAACATTAACACTGTAAATTCCTTTCACAATTTTCTTTTCTTTTCTTCTTTTTCTTCTCTTCCTCTGTTTCACTGACAAACGTTCATTTTTGACTTTTATGATTTCATGACCTTTCTTATGATTTTACTACCTTACGTTTAAGTAGTGCTTTTCTAACTTCATTATATTCATTATTATCATTTAATTGAATTTCACAATTTCCCGTCGATTGATTGGACTGAAGTGCTCGGTCTCAGGTTGACATGTCGGCTTCTTGTGCAGATTCTTGGCCGATGTCTGGGCATTGAATTAGTATACGATTGGTGGATGGTGACTATCAGTGGAATCCAGGATGCGCATTTCGTCCTGTTTGGGACTCGTCAACCAGTGGATATGCCTGCATTTCTCAGTGAGTGATGATTTTCCCACAGGGGCTCAAACTCAGTGCCCATAGTTTAAATACTCATTCAATGCCCAGACATCGTCGAAGCACCTGCACAAGAAGCCGACATGTCAACCTGAGACCGAGCACTTCGGTCCAATCAATCGACGGGAAAATCAAAAATTCAATTCAATAATTAATATGACCCGTTGCACAAGAGGTGGCTCTCGTGGCCCAAGTGGTCTAGTGGATAACGCTTTGGCGTTGAAAACTATGGGCACTGGGTTTGAGCCTCGGTGGGAACATCATCGCTCACTGAGAAATGCAGGTACATCCAGCTTACGAGTCCCAAACAGGACGAAATGCGCATCCTGGATTCCACTGCTAGTCACCATCCACCAATTAAATAGTCATTATTCTCATTGTTTGACAGTTATTCACCAACAGTACTATTAATTTTACACCATATCATCGTTATTATTTCACAGTCATTCTTATTGTCGTTATTTTCAACCTTGAACTTAAGTCTAGACCGCCCCATTCGTTTTTTCATATTGTCTCACACACCTTGATTACACTCACTCTCGAAACCTGTATTTTCTGTTGACTACATTTACATATATACACACATATCATTAAATTACTTCATCTAATTTTGTCCCATGTTCTCATTGACCATGCATATTCAAAAACTAACTGACTATTGTTCTATCCCATCTTACTCATACTTGTTCCACAATACACTTTCTAATATGATTCTAATTTGTCTTTACTGGCTATTGTATGCTTAAATTTAATGGATATATAATTTATTGAAACCACAATTGTTCGCTCTAAATATTACTCAGTTATCAAGTCTGATTATTTAAAACTACATACTACTGATTGACTGAGATCAGTAGTCGCATCAACCAGTAATACTTGCTAGCCAAATCAAAGTGATCTAAATACCCAGACGGTTGTTTCACTCAATTGGCACCGAGCTCGTCAGTGGCGTATCCGGTTCGACTTAATTCAAGGATTGGAGTCAGTTCAAACTACCCGATTTTTGGCTGACCACTTGGAAGAATTTCACAAATCGCAGTGTAAACAGCACTACTGATTGACGTGAGTGGTACAGGACTACACACCCCAATCAGTCAGTAGTACATGTATAGTTTTATGCAAATATGCTTGCTCTCGTGATCATCGATTTATGATGTCAAGCAGATCATATAATACTGTGATCTGAATAATTTGGTTCCCAAAGTAAATTGTGGTGAAAATTTCACCCTTCGTAGAACTGTGAACATTCTAAATTGCAAACTAAATTGTAAACTGTGAGTGGGATTTAATTGAGCGGAGAGAAAATGCGTAGAGATCAACTTTCTTGTCCATCACACTAGGGGATAATACATGTTATTAAAATCTTTCGTCAATACATGGCTGTAATCTTTGGCTAGACATGACAGTAGGCATGTTTAGCTAGAACACGGAAAGCCTATACTTCAGTTATGCGTTACACATGTCTTAGATACCTGAAGATAAAACTGCACACTACAGTACTTGTTTATTCAAAAACCTTTCGAACACTTCCACAGATAGGATTGTATATCTGAACATTTTATGGTATACTTAGCAAGAGGACAATGCAAGACAATTACTAGCTCAATTCTCAAGCACTTGGTTAATTCAGACCAAGCAGCTCCATCACAGTCGTCTTTTGGGATCAACTAAAAGGTGAGACCAAATGGTACGAAAGGTGTTAGGTTCCGACATTTGTTTATGGTGGAGGCAGTGACAATTCGGCAATATAACCTCGAACTCTGTATACAGAAAAAGTTTGTGCAGTATCTTATTCTACTATTGTCTAACCTCTTCATTAGTAGCTCCCTGTAATTTTTTTAATCTTTATTTCTAATAATTAGTTTGCTTTCACTCTAATAATCAATCTTCTACGGTTGGTTTGTAAGGGTTAGTTTTGTTTTTACGAATTGATCACGTATTGATATCAGTTAGAGAAACATTGAAAACCAACCAGAGAGTACAGGACAGCTGTTTCACCTAGTTTGGGAATCATCGGCACTACGCACCCACCACCAGGATTCAAACCCAGGACCTTCCGGTTACAAGGGCAGCAGGCTCGTATACAATTCAGTCTTTAAAAAGGGTCCCAGTGGCTGATTGGTATACGAGCTTACCTTGTAACTGGAAGGTCCTGGGTTCGACCCCTGGCGATTGGTCTAGGATGAAAAAGCTGACCACTACTCCCTGGATTTCAGAGGTTCTCTAACTGATATCAATCCATTATCAGCTCGTAATAATTAATTAACTGCTATCGTTTTATACATTTTCTTACCTTCCTCACACTTGTTAAATGGACACTCAATTACTTTTCTTCTCAGTCAGTAATAATTTTAGCCTTATCAAATCTTTAACTGTTTATTGCATTATCCTGTTGAGTGTTACAGAATTGTTCAACTTTAGATCTTACTTTTGAAGCCCCTTTTGAGTAATTACGTCAGTAATGTCACACACACACACTCTCCAATCACTTTATAATGGTCCACTATACTTACTTACTTTACTTTACTTCGGCTATCTCCTACGGGAGGATGAGCCGGCTTTATGAACATCTCGAATCATCGCTGCCAAGGCGCGGCGATCTGATGCAAGGTTTTGCGACAGGGTTATCCAATTCTTGTTCCACAGACGGAGTCCGTAGACGGTTTGTATCCCCAGGCACTCCATATCAGCCTTGACTGTCCCAAGCCATGTTTTCAGCTGTCCACCCCTGCGACATCGTCAAGATGGAAATGGCGAGGAATTTAGAACTGATTTGACCAGATCGTCATCTAGTCGGCGCAGAACATGGCCAAACCACCGAAGGCGACGTTGTTGGACCAGTACTGGAATTTGGTTGATGTTGTTAAGAGAGTTCATGAAGTTTCATGGGAATTAGGTACGAGTGATGTCCCCAGCATCGCTCGGCCTTTTGTTTGAGAGTGCAGCTCTAGCCTTTACACAACCAAGTGTGACCTACAAGGCAGTAGAAGTGAAGTAAAGAGTCCACTATCCATTGGCAGCCGGTGACCGGAGTTCGGTTCATACGCCTTTTTGAATGGGGCCAGACATCCAGGGCATCCAATAAGCCCTTTGTCCATACGTCTACCGGTGAGCTCCGGTGAGCTTCATACGCCAGTCGTTGGAGGTTTGGAATCAGGGTTTAGCCATCTCCCCTAGACTGTCATCCAATGGACAGTCAACCCAGTGAAGAGCGCCGGGCAGCCGCTTTTGCCCTCTCACTTCGGTGAAAAACACCTCCGCCACGTGAAGGCAGTAAGTAGGACTTCCTCAGGAGAGGCTATGTAAGACGCCCGGTCATATGGGAGCATTTCAAGAGGTGTACGGAGGGGTGACCAACCCGCAGCGCAAGGCACCCACCCCCGACCATCCTGAGGCTTTGGAGGCTGGTCCACTATAAGTTTTCGCTAAATATAAATACGATTGTACAGCCTCTGAAGATGATTTCTTCGGTAAAGAAAAATTTTTCTTCACTGAATTGTCTTTCATCTTCTTTATTACTCAATGGGTACTATCGGTGTTTTACTAGTAAATTCACACTGAATTGATTTCAACAAGTGCCAAGGATACATTCTTTAAGGAACAAGAGATGATCTTATAACAGACTGATCAAACACAGATAGTGGTGTTGTCCGATACACTAGATAGACAGTTTGATCTCTACCCTAATTATTATTGTTATTATTATTCGCTTAGGTTCTGAGTGGAACATAGAGCTTCCACAACACGTCTTCAATTCACGTTGTTCTTTGCAGTTGCCTTTGGCTGGCGCCATTATTTACCATAGGTTTTCATCTCTTCCTCACAGGATCTACTTTATATCACTCTCCAACCGACGCCCAACTCGTCACTTCCACAGGAGCTTTGGTCTGGCGGACGATGTCATCCAAATGTCTCCTCACTCCCATTTTCTTTGGTATATCTTGATTGGTTCATCCCTAGAGTTTCCTGTCACTAATTCTTTCTCGCAGGCCATTTGATCTTTAGTATAAAGCCAGTAATATTAGCTCCTGATTAGAGTCTGAAATCTGTTTAAAATGCTATCCGTGACGCTCTGGTCAAGTTTCTGCCCCTTATAGGCGAAAAGACTGTCTCAACATGGGTGTCGAAAGTCCTAATCTTGTTCCATATGCTGAGTGCACAAGATTTTCACACTGATTTCAAAGTAACGAGAGTCTGTCTTTTCTTTCCGATTCTGGTTTTAACATCCTCATCCGGGGCACATGTTGTTGAAACGATGCTGTCTGCATATGTTAAATAAGTGACCTCTTTCAAATTTCTTCCGTTGATACTGATTGATGCTTGCTATTGTTGTTGATTGGTTATCTTCATTTTTTTATTATAGCTTGAAACCACACCGTATTTTTGATACAAGTATGGGATTTTCAGCATATGATATCGGTAGCCCAAATTTCGCAGGCCAACTATAGATATCGGGTGTGCTTCGGCAGGGGATCGAACCCTGGACCATATGCATAGTCGGTGAGAGTCCTAACAGCTGTGCTACCGACGCACATTACCTCTGTCTTAGCAATGTTCACTTAAAGTCTTGCCTTTACTGCCTGCCTCTTCTGTCAACGTTTCGCTCTCATCAAGCATAAATCGTCTGTGAGGTTCAGATCTTCAAGTGTCTCCTTGTCAGTTCAACGTATTCCTGTCTTCTCGGCCCTCACAGTCTGCCCCATAATCCAGTCCACCATAATTAAGAATATCATTGGTGATAAAAAGCTGCTCTGTTTTACTCCTATTTCCAATGCAAGTTTCCTCTGAGTTTTCTGTTTTGGACCAACTAGCACATGGCATTGTCTTTTAGCTGCTGAATAAGGTCGATAAATATTTGGAGCACTCCATAGTATTGAAGTCTTCTCCGTTGACACCATTGGTGGACTTAGGATGGATGTCCCACCGACGACATTGGTTGGGGTCATCCTAAATCACGAATTCGTAAAAGCTAGAATTCATGCACTGGCGATTGAATTGGGTCTCGATGGCTGAGTGGTATATGAGCTTGCCTTGCAACCGGAAGGTCCTGAGTTTGAACCCCAATGGTGTGGGTGCGTAGTGCCGATGATTCCGAAACTAGGATGAAACAGCTGTCCAATACTCCCTGGTTCTCAATGGTTCTCTAACTGATATCAATACGTGATCAACTCGTAAAAAGCTTATATATAACGCGAATCCAAAACAGTGTGTCAAGAACAGAGACAGCAAGTCTTGAAGACAACTCACTATCGCCTAGCTAAAGTAACGGGATTCCAATGGACTTAGTTTCTAGAACTTCCTTCAATGAGTAGTACTGCACAAACATCATCATCACCCTTATTGTAGGGATCAACCAACCATTAATGTGAATCTCGAAAAATACCCATTTATTCATAAGTAAAAACACAGTTTTTGTTCAGCGAAGAAATTTCTTTTCAACGACTTCATTTTCAAGCTGTACAGTCGTATTTATGTTACAGAAAAAGGTTATTAAGTGGCACTAAATAATTGCTCAGTCAATATACACATACAAGTGATAAAAGTTATAAGGGGTAGAGTTGAAGTGGATAAATTACAGAAATGTTAAAGATTGTTTTATAACAAAAATGTCAAGCGTTGTCTAAAAATTTTGAAAATTAGGAGTACGATTACGATAAGAATGAAGATGTGAAGTGAAGTGGAAAGAATTCAATTGGTAAAATAAAATAAAAACTAGAAAAAACATTATTATGACCAAGGTAAAGAAAGGGGTTTGACAAAACGCTTTTGAACACATAATTTATGTTTCTGTTCATGTATAGCTAAAGCTTCGGCTAGCTATGCATAAGTGAAGAAAACGTAAACCTTTGGAACGGTTCCATTTTGCCATGTAGATAACTTTGAAAGATGAATCACGTGGGGCTAAATGACCAGATTCTAACAGGTGATCACAAATAGACGACTTTGCAGTTCTACGTTCGCCTTTCATTAACCAAATCGGACAGTGTTCAGCTACACGTTTTCGGAGATTACGCTTACAACGTCCAATATAAACAGCTCCACAAGAGCAGGTAAAACAGTAAATACACATTAATGTGAACCTTCCTACTCTAAAAACTAAACAATTTTCAACCGTCTTCCAAATATAGTAGTCAACACAAAAGACTATCCATTGTAGGATATTGTAAATAGCCTCCTAGAATCAAAAATAAACTTTAACCAATCAAAAATATTATAAAACAAAGTTTTTTTCAAACATAATTGTTAATTTTCTTTTAAATAAATAAATAAAACAGACAAACATTTCATATATATAAGGAACTACTTACCAGCATACTGTTGCTGCCAACAGCAACTGGATGATGTCGAAGTTCAGGTTGATCACGGATTTCAACAGCTGCATAAAATGCATCCATATCAACATGTACTATGCAACGTGATAGACGTCGCCTCTCCTTAAGATTTTTAAGTATAATATCCGCCTTGAGAAGAGCAAGAAGAAAACAGAACATGAATAAGCATAAAAAAGTTAACAGTTAGCCAAGACGTAAAAACAGCTACAAATGTACAATAGATCTTAAGGATATAGTAAAAGTTTATAAATAATAAATAGAGGTTTAATCCCAAGGTGACATCAGTTAGAGAACTAATGGGATACCACGGAGTATTGCATAGGCGTTTCTTCTATTAGGAGACTCCTCAGAAGTACCCATCAACCGCCAGGGTTCGAACCTTCTAGCTACTAGACGAGCTTGCAGAATATTCAATCATTGGAACCAAATCCTGAAGCTGACCGTAAGATTCAAATTCCTGCGAATTTGCCACAGACAGATATAACGCAACAACCAGCCAATGTCATCAACGAGTACCTGATTTAGTCGACCCTGATGATTACGGCTCCTCAATCTAATCCCAGCTAACTTGCTATACAGTGTCAATCACTAGTCAGAACCAGATTAAATAGCAAGCGTTGGCTTGCGGGAATTGTGGTCAAACCTGTAATTAATCAAATCCCTAGAAACCAACACTTGATAAACAATGAATAGCCATCAAACAGATATAGAGACCTTATATGCATCTTGAGGACTTATCTTTTATCTGTTTCCAATATCTTACCTCATTTTATAGCACTTAACAACATCCTATTATATTATTCCTACTTCAGTTGCCCTCTAATTGATCTGCAAACATGATATGCAGCAACTTACACAGACACATTTCCTAGTCAGCGCTAACTTTAGGCATAAAGAGAGACATTGTGTAACCTGGCGACTTCCATCAACAAATCAACGTTGGACTCAGATAGATCACATAGCTATAGGGTATCGTTGGCGAAATGTCAGTAGAAGACTGCCGCTCCTTCTGGAATACGTGCGTAGACTCCGATCACGCTCTGGTTCGCGCACGTTTATTATGCTTACGACTAAACGGACATAAGAAATTGCTGGCAGAGAAACAGTTACGTCCTCAACTACATCGAGACACTTAGTCCCTAATTAAGGAAGAAGTAGCGAGACGAGTGTCTGAGGTCAACAGCAGGACTTCCCCTGAGGTAGTCTGGCACAACATACAGTTAGCTGTAGAAGCAGCTGTGAAAGCTGTTAATAAGCTAAAACCAAAAGTTAGTAAGAGCTATTGGATCTCTACCGCCTCATTCGAACTGATTAACGCAAGAAGACTGATTCCGGCGTACTCCGATTATGATGGGGAGCGAAAGCTACTCAAACGAAAACTAAGAAGAAGTCTTCCCAACAACGGTGAACAGTGGTGGTTGACAAAAGCGAAAGAGATGGAAAAGACATCGGCAATTGGTAACACCAGACAACTATTTAGGCTTATCAGGGAAACAGGTGGTAAAAGGCAAATGATAAGTGAAACAATCTCGGAGAAAAATAGCACCACATCAGCTCCTAGGATAGATGACTGGAACGCTGGAAAGAACACTATGAGGAGCAGCTTAACTGGCCTACAGCCACGCTCAAGTTACCAAGAATCCAAAACCTCCCTGAATGGGATATAGACACAGGTCCTCCATCCCTAACTGAGGTAACTAAAGATGTCACTAGTCTGATACGAGGCAAAGTAGCAGAACCTGATGAAATGATTCCAGAGGTATTTAAGTACGGTGGAGACAGTTTACTGTCTGCGTCAACTGATGTACTAGGAAGAGTCAGAAGAAGTCCCGTCGGGTTGAAGTAAGTCACTGATTATCCCCATACACAAGAAGGGAGAGAAGTCTTCCTCTGATAATCACAGAGGGATTAGCTTGACTAGTATAGTATCTAAAGTCCTAAGCTCAATAATATTGCGTAGACTAAGTGATCCACAGAAGACACAAACACGAGAGAACCAGGCAGGCTTTAGACCAGGAAGAGGGTTATTGGATATATCTTCACCCTTCGACAGATTCTATAACAAGGGCATTCTTACCGGCGCCCAACAATCATTATATTTCTTATTTTATTTATTTTTATTTTTGATTACAGCTTGATTCCACACCGTATTTTTGGTACATGTATGGAATTTTCAGCGTGGATATCGGTAGCCCAGAATTCGCAGGCCGACCATAAATATCAGGTGTGCATCGGCGAGGGCTCGAACCCCAGACCATATGCATGGTCGGCGGGAGTCCTAACCACTGTGCCACCGACGCACCTAAAGACAGCATTCGATTCTGTCGACGGAGAGGTACTCTGGCGGCGCTTGGTCGTAAACGGAATGACGAGAAAATACATTGCACTGATCAACGCACTCTACTCGAACTCACAGAACCAGCCAGGTGAGAGCTAACGGCGAGTTGTAATCTGAAGTGGTGACGACTAGTGGTGTCCGTCAAGGAGGCCCATTTTCCCCATTTCTATTTGATTTCATCATAACTCAATTCAGCGACTCAGGGATTGACTTGCTACCAGGGAATAATCTCATTGACTTAGAATATTCAGACAGTATAGTCCTTCTAGGTTAGGACGCTGACAAAATGCAGCGTCTTCTGGACACCTTGATCTGCAATCTACGAATGTTTGGCATGCGATTCGCCCCTGCCAGATGCAAGATGATGTTACAGGACCAGACTACACTGACTCCTAGTTTAGAAATAGGGGGTGAAGTGGTAGAGCACGTTGACCGCTTCACTTATTTGGGAAGTTGCATCAGCCTACGTCAACGGGTTGATCTCCGACGAAATCTCAGCACGGATGCAGAGGGCTAGCTTCGCATATGCTAGTTTACGCCGTCGCTGGCGAAGACGTGATATCCGGCTGGCTATCGACCAAAGGGCGGGTGTACTGCTCAGCGGGTGTCCGCTCCGTCCTCCTTTACGCCTAGCTGTGAAACCTGGACATTGAGAGTGGAAGACACGAAAAGATTAGCTGTCTTTGATCATAGGTGCCTGTCGAGTGCAAGATAAGGAGGGGAAATCAATCGACAAGGCAGTGAAATTACATCAACTGAGATGGTTAGGACATGTGTTATGTATGCCTAGTCATCGCCTTGCTGGACAACGGGAAATGTTAGCTGATATAGGGTTAGGCTGGTAAAGAGCTAGTGGCGGTCAAACCAAACCATGACTTCATCAGCCAATGAAATCTACAACAGTTAGTTTAAGCCAGCCAGCCACGTAGGAAGGTGTAGACTTCCTGACTACTTGGGGTCCTCGGGACGGTAAAAACCAATGGTCGGAAACAATCGGTGATATGGCTCAAAATCGTTCTCAATGGCTGGCACAGATGCATCCACTCCTTGTGACTTATGATTTCCAATGAAACTGTTTTGTTCTTCGTTATTACTATTCCTTTTGTCTCACACCTCTGTTTACTGTCCGTATTATGCATTTCTTCTACTTTCTCTCTTGCTTTGCGTGCTACAAAGGGAGTGTGGCGACTTGAACTGGTGCACATATGTGCAAGGTTCTACGTAGAAAACAGACAGACAGACACAGACACATCGCAGTGCTTAATTTATTATTATTATTATCCCTAATGGTTCCAAGTGGAACAGAGGACTTCATCAGGACACCTTAATTTCACCCTATTCTCTGAATTCCTATTTAGCTGGCCACATCCATCAGCCCTCATCTCCTCTTCACACGATCTCCTCCATACCAACTCTAGGACCTGTGCCCAATTTGTCGTTTCTCATTCGGGTTCCACTTAAAGATGGCCTGAAATTTCATGCCACTCAACAATCTCCTCGGCTAATAGGAGAGTGCAACCTGTGGGAAATACTTTTCATGCCGCGTGTGTCAATTCTCTGAACTATATAGAAGCACTGATTTGCCATTACTTTTGAAAAGGCCTATTTCTGATTTCATCGCAAGAGGACAAATCAGTTGACTGCATTTTCGAAGGCTTTCAACAGCCCGCGTAACTGATTTCAACGAAGAATAGGTTTTTTATATTTTCGGCATGCTTTCAAGTTTCTGTAGCTATTCGCTTGGTTTTCAGGGGTAGAGTTGCTGGTGCTACCCACAACATTCCCCGCTATCGTTACATGGGATAAAAGTGGAATCAATGAAACTAGGTCAACAACAAAGACTAAAGTGAATTGCTATACACGAGCGAGAATGCGAAAATGCAGCTTACTTCAGCTTCACCACTTTTTAACATGGTCGGTGTAAGTGATTTTACAATTTTCAATTTTTGTTCAATTTGTTGACGAAGAGATTTTTCCTTTCTCAATTCATTTTCATAAAATTTCGATCCTATTATAATAAAGTACAAAAAACAAAACAATGAAATTACTGTGGAGATGAAAATTCCAGGTCTACCATGGAATCATACAGTAATTTATACCAATGGAAGTCAAAAAGACTCGTCTGTTATGTGACAAGTGAGATTGTGTTCCAGGGACTCACTAGCTAGAAGTGTACGGAGAATATTTTACGCAGTAAACGTATGTTTGTCATTTTCTAATCGACAAATGATTGAGACTCAAACAAAGGATAAGCTAGATAGTTTCGCCACACCTGTATGCATTTACTAATTCAACTGCACCTACAGTGACAATTATGTTGGGCGAACTACTATACAGTTTGGCCAAACTTGTTGCTGAACATCTCCCATTGTTGCTTTTGATAAAGAATAGAAAAGAGCTGCATTTTTTTCACATTTACTTGATAGCTGCCATTTAGTGGAAAAATCGAAAGCATTCAAGGTGATGCATCGCATTCCACCGAATCTTTCCCCATAGACTCTTTATTTGCTTACTACATATAGCTGAGGTGACAAGCATTCAAACTATGGTGAAAGCATTTGCTGGCCAAAATTGGTAGACAGCAATTTACGTCAATGTTTACGTCCCAAATCTTGGTCATGAGAAAAAAACAAGGACAAAGCCTAACCTTGAGGAATTCAACAACCAATCACAGCACACTTAGCGTGGGCGGATACGATTAGTAGATATATGGCCTGATCTTCACAGAGAAACGGCCAAAAAGAGGTGACAGAATAACTTTTAGCAGGAAAACAACCATTCAGAAGACGCCGCTTCCTTGCTAACAATAACGAATAATAATGTGCACAAAAAGCTATAAATATCTGTTGATTTTCTCAAAAACCTATCTGTTGCCTGGTCCTTGTCTTCTGTCGTTACAAAACTATTAAGTCTAAATTGTGCATTCATTCGTACAGCTCCTATCCATCCCTTGGTCAACTGAAATCTAATCAACTGACGATATTATCACCACCCATTATTTATAAATTTTTAATCCCCTTCTAATCAACGCTTAATCTTATCAAATCACTAAAAAGAGTTTCTCTACTTCCCTTACAATTTAGAATTACTTAATCGGACTATTCGTTTTTCTTAGCCTTTCTCGACTACGTTCATCCGTATATTTATTTGTTTAATAATGCTATTTGTCATTGTTCCAGTGATCAGAGATCGTTCCACTTCTTCATCTTTGTTACTAATATAATTATTATTACTACTACTATTATGACTAAGTGTACAACTTTATCATCCTATTGACAAATCACTATGATTGGTTTATATTTAATAATTATCTGCAAAGTTCTTTCCATCTGACTTAAGCCTGATGAGGTCGACTGACTGTTGACGAAATCTCAGTATGTATATAAAAAGCTCGTGTGGAATATAGTAAATAACGTCAACTTTGGCTATCGAATAAAGAATGTGTGTACTCCTCTCCTCCTTTATGGCTATGATACTCGGACATTGGAAGTTGAACATAGGCCAAAGCTGGCTGTCGTTGATTATTGGTGTCTGCGTTCTCTCCCCCACGTAGGATGGTATAATACGATGAGTAATATGTAGTTTAGGCGTAGGGTGTTATGCAAGGAGGATAACCCAAACGATGAGGTTGTGAAGCTACATCAACTGAGATGGTTAGGACATATGTTATGCATACCTATCCATCGCCTTTCTCAGAGAACACAGTTAGCTGACAATAGAATCAGGTTGGAGAAGAACAAGTGGTCGTCAAAGCAAAATTTGGTCACTGAAAATGTATATTAGGTTATTGAGGTAACCAAGGCGACAGTAACTAGCATTGTAGACTAAAGTAATCTTGTCCAAATTCCAGTTCATATGTGATTTCATAAATCTTAGTGGTTTAATGAAATGTTATTGATATGGTAATCAAGGTCAGTCAGGAAATGAACCAATCAGAATTGACCCACGTAAAATAACGCCCACCATTTTAGTGCTCATGAATACAGACTGCTTGATATGTGATTGTGTGAATATATTCTTTCTAGCCAACTCAGTGTGTTCTCAGTTTTACCTAGCAGAAACTGAGAACGTTGGTGGCGTACATGCGATATCCGTGTCACTGCGACTACACCAGCCTCTGGGATTCTCTCATCCAGCAGTTAACCGAGGAAATACATCAGTTGTTTACGGGGAGTGGATGGGTGATTAATGCACACAGCCGATTTATGTAACACAAAATTCCTAGTAAATTGTAGATATAAAAGATGGTTGGAGGCAGTCACCACGACCCTTGGACGTAGGTTTCGCGCTAGTTGGTAATCACCAGTCAATCAAACACCAAGGCGTATCTGCCATCTTGAAGGAACTCATACCCCCCCTGATGATAGCAAGCTACATGGCATACTGGCCAAATTAAAAAATACCTTCAAATGACTATGAATGAGGTCAACTATATAGGTTAAACCAGTAGATCAGAGGTTATTGGATTATCAGAACACAAAAGAATTTAGCTAAGTGTAGAATGTGATTGACCTCATGAAAATAAGTAATCTAGAAAAAAACCTCAGCAATACAACACCACACAATAAAGTGGCACAGAGTTACAATTCTGAAAAGTAATATAGATGGATGGAGATAGGAAGAGTGGTTGATTATTGAATCTTTGTTCATTGAATCTACACACACGACACGTGCAATAGAAATGACTCGTGGCTAATACCAGAGGTATGGGAAATATTACCACCAATCTAATGGAGAGATGAGAAATAATGGAATTATATAAACGAAATTTGAAAGCAGTTATGTGAATGCTTTGACATGATATAAGTATAAAACTTGGGCACTGTGGTAGAGTATAACTCCCTTATGGATGAGATTTTATTTTGATAAATCACACAATGTTATACAGTAATATTGACTGATGACAACGTTTCGAGCACAAAATAAAAATATTGGTGACGCTAATAATGATTATATATATAAAAGAGGGGGCATCTGAGACCGCCCTATGTAGGATTCTCAATAAATAGCAGGAATTAGGGTGGTATTAAAACCTACAAACTCACTCAGGCAGGGACAAGCTCTGTAGACTAAAAGACCCGGTAGACCTAATCAAAGAAAATAATATCATTTAAAAAATGCCTTGCAATGACTATGAGTTAAGCCAACTACATACGTCAAACTAGTAGATCCGGGGTGGTCAGATGGTCAGAACATAAGAATTTAGCTAAGGTAATCATGGTCGACCCCGAGAAGATGAGTAATTTAGAAAAAAGCTGAGCAATTGCACTGCATAAAATCAATACACAATTACACAATAGGGTGGTGAGAGAGGGTTAAAATTCTGGGAAGTAATATAGGTAGGTGGAGAGAGAGAGATTGTTTAATGAATCATGCCTGGTTCATTGAGTCTACACTCAACACAACACATGCAATAGAAATAACTCAATGCAAATACCAGAGATATGCATGGAAGAGCCCGAATAGCTCAATGGTAACGTCTTTGAGTGCAGCACTGGGTGACGCGGGTTCGATTCTCAGAAGGGACATGAGTTCCTTCAAGGTTGCAGATACGCCTTGCTGATGAGTGCCAGCTAGCACGAAACCTAGGTCCAAGGCTTCCTTTCGATTGCCTCGAACCATCTAATACCGACATCTAACAGTGCACCGTAATGGAGAGCCACCTAGCATGGTGGCCTCATTACAGCCTGACTGATAGAATTCAGTCTGCACCGAAGTTAGGACTAGACACATTACACTAGTTACTGACTAGTGTGCAATCAAAGATATTATTTCCACCAGTTAGTCAAATTAGAGGAGGATAATAAATAATCTTGAAATTCTATTTCAATTCAATTCACGTACATCATAACACTGTGACAAGTTACTTATTTTGACTATAAAAATACTCGTCTTATTTCCCATCTGATTGTAATTGATCAATAGCACTCATATTATTATTTCTGAATGTGCATTATCCTATATTGATATTTTATTCAAATGTCTATTCATCAATTCCACTCATGTATATAAATGAAGCAAGAAAGTTGTGTGAGTGAGTGACTTGATATGGTTGTGAGCAATAGTTTGTACTCGAAACGTTATCAGTTAATATTTACCGTATAACCCTGCGTGATTTATCAAAATAAAATCTTATCCATAATGGAGCAATAAATTGTGCTGGAAACATGGTCATCAGTAAATATTACTGCATAACACTGTAAGGCTTTATCAAATAAATTTTCTCCATAATGAATTATACTCCAGGTTCGATTCTCATACATCAATTGTAGGTATCCTTTTAAAACTACAAACCATTCCAATCGGATTGATGACTCAATGCATGAATTCATACAATTATCAAAACATAAAAAGGAGCAAATTGGCATAGTATTAGAAATGTATGAAATTTAGGCGTGATAGTATTCGGAATGCTAGTAACTTATTCAAATATGCATTCGCATAACTTATCACCATGACAGATACCGTTAGACAAAAGTTTACACTACGATCCATCGACAAAAAAAATTTGTGATTACTAGTTATAGGAAGACAGCCGGGAATTCTAGGAGACTAAGTTTCATACTTACTAGCAATTGGATCAGCAAGGCCTATCTTCAACTTTGAAGGAAATGCTGTTCTGTCGAAGGACTCCTATTACATTCGGAGAGGTTACCAATAAACCGTTCAAGCCGAAATCTACCTCTCTTACAACCGTAATGCATATACTGAATAGTCATTACAGAGTAACCATTGTGAATATATCTCTGACCACAGAAGTGAGTGAAAGACGATCGATTAACTAGAGATGGGGCATTAGTTGTTTCAATGTGACAGACACACTCCGATGAGGAGTACCAGGTAAGGACGAAACCTTGAGTATTAAGGTCTACTGACAGTTGTTTCCAACACTATCTAACACCAATTCACAGTGTACTAAGAAAATGAGTCATTCTATTGAGAAATTAATTTTAAAAAAAAAGCATAATTTTTAGAATACAGCCTTGTTCTCCTTGATGACGCAACAATAACCATTGATAAGTCACAAAAACAGTTGAAAAGGCTAAAATAAGCCATGAAACCAGTATACATAATATATAAGCATTGGCTTTTCCAGAATGTAGGAGGTACCTTTAGAATTCTCTAATATAATTTCCATAATTGTCGCCTTGTCCAAACCTTCCATACCAGCTTTACTTGTACTATATCGGCAACAACTTCCCAAGTCATCTGTTGAACTGTCATCATCCATGGTTGATCTAGAATAACAATTAGGAGAAGAAGAAAAACAATCACAACTACACATATCACATAACTATTGAAGCATATTCATATAATAATAATAATAATAATAATTAATAATAATTTGCTTTATTCCAAAACAGTACTTGTGATACAGAATGGAATTCTCAGCATTTCACTAAAGTATTGCATTCAGTTAGTAAATTAACAATAAATAAAATTCTACATAGATTATGGGTAATATCAGTTAATTTTGACAACAACATATTGGCATGTCGGTAGAAAAGCCAACAGTGAACAGAATGTTTGAAGGTGTTAGAAAAGTAGATGCTACTAGCATATTTACTGGCGTAAGCGGTAACAAAAAGGTCGAGATATACAGAGTGTGAAAAAACGAAGAAGAATGTTTCAAATAGAGTTTGTAAGGAAGAGAGAAACAAAACATAACAAAAAGGGGAAGGAAAGAAAGAGAACGTTGTACCTATAAATGATATGAGTTGGAAAGACGAGATCCAGTTGTTCTACTGATTATTTAATAAGTTGTAGGTTTCACGCCTAATGCTTTCTTTGTCACACAGAACAAGAACGAGCTAAGTAGGGTATGATTGAGCTTTTGTACTTGCTAGTGCGAGCATATAGTCTTCTATATCGGTTTCTGGTTCTGCCTGATGAGATAGAACAAGGGGAGAGTTGTGAATGAAGAGGATGGTGTGAGTTAGATAAAATAGATTTAGCCCATTTTTCACATGACTCCAAGTGCCTGACGGCTGCACGTTGCTTACCCTGCTGACAATCTTTAACATCCTACGTAATAAGATATAGTCTTTCTTCAGTAGCCGTGGAAAAACTAAGGGGGAACAGCAGAGAATAATAGGCACAATGCAAGAGTTAACGAATCGTAAGAGTAAGGGTTGGGTGGGTTATTCCAGAATATGTTAATTTCTTGATGTAGAAGGTAAGACGAAATATTTTCTTAGAAATCATCAAGATATGAGACAATCAGAAAAGATCAGCAGATAGAATGACGCCAAGATATTTAATTTCCGACTTGGTTTGTATTTTAGTGCCATCTATGTTGCACACCTCCTGTGGGTGCTGACCAGTTTGTTTAGGTCATATTTATGCCTAAAGGTGAAATTGACTGTTTGACATTAAAGGTAAGACCATAAAAGGTAAGTAAGGTACAAAGCTCATATATTTTTATATAAAAAAAAATACGTGAAGACATGCACACTGTATGACTATTAAATCTTATACACTGTAATAAACATGTTTACAATGCTAGAAATGTTGAACGTGATTATTTCAAGCTTTAGTCGTGAAAGTAATACATGACTTTGTCAGGTGAAGAGTCATAAAAAAGCGATGCTGTTGTGCTGTGTTTGTTTGTTGGTTTTCGTTGACAATTTAGGTTAGACAATTTCTGTAAAATGCTTCTGTCACTTACCGAGAGAGAATATTGAACTAAACTCATAGATAGATAGATAGATCATATATAGATCAATATTCATTGTAAGCGCATTTTTAATGCGTGTTTGCACACGATTCCATGATATTTCATGAAACATTACTGCTTTCAAGTATTGGTTTGCAGGGATTTGACAGGTTACAGATCTGTCTGTCTGTCTGTCTGTTTTCGACATAGAACTTTGCACAAATGTGCGGAAGTTCAAGTCGCCACATTCCGTGTAGCACGCGAAGCAAGAGAAGAAAGTACAAGAAAAGCATAACAGAAACAGTGAGCAGAGGTGTGAGACAAAGGAGAATAAAGAATAACAAAACAGTTTCATTGGAGATCATAAGTCACAGGGAGTGGATGCATCTGCGCCACTGAGAACGGTTTCGAGGCATGTCACCAATTGTTTCCAACCATAGATTTTTACCGTCCCGAGGACCCCAGCCTGGAAGTCTACACCTTTCTACGTGGCTTAAACTAACTGTTGTGGATTTCATTGACTGATGCCAAGTTTTTGTCTGACCGCCGCTAGCTTTTTTCCAGCCTGACCCTATATCCGCTAACATAGCTCGTCGAGGGAGGCGATGGCTTGGCATACGTAACACATGTCCTAACCATCTCAGTCTTTGTAGCTTCACGACTTCGTCGATTGATTTCCCCTGTTTACCTAGAACTCTACGCCTAACCTCCATGTTGCTCACCTTATTATGCCACTTTACACCGGAAATAGAGCGCAGGCACCTATGAACAAAGACAGCTAGCTAGTCTTTTCATGTCTTCCACTCTCAGTGGCCAGGTCTCGCTCACAACCATAAAGGAGGACGGAGCGGACTGATGAGCAGTACACCCGCCCTTTGGTCGATAGTCGAACATCTCGTCTACGCCAGAGTCGGCGTAAACTAACAAATGCGAAACGAACCCCTTGTATTCGTGCTGAGATTTCGTCAGAGATCAGCCCGTTGGGACTGATGGTACTTCCCAAATAAGTGAAGCGGTCATCGTGCTCTACCACTTCACTTCCTATTTTTAAACTAGGCGTCGATGTAGTCCAGTCCTGTAACATCATCTTGCATTTGGCGGGAGCGAATCGCATGCCAAACATTCGTAGATTGCGGCTCAAGGTGTTTAGAAGACTCTGCATTTCGTCAGCGTCTTCGCCTAGAAGGACTATATCGTCTGCATATTCAGATCTGATCACAAGCAGACATTGGTTAGAGAACCATTGGAAAACTAGGGAGTATTAGACAGCTGTTTCGTCCTTGTCTGAGATTCCTCATCAGTGTGTATCTATGACTCCGCAGACTTTGAGGTTACAAGGTCAGCTTGCTGACTATTCAGGCACTGGGACGGAACTCATCAAACTCCCGCAAACAAACATTTGAAAATTAACATAACATAACAATTTCGCTTTATTCCAAAACAGTACTTGTGGTACAGTGTGAATTTTCAGCACATATCTACAATGCTTGCTCACTAATGACTAACTACAGGATGAATTGGATCGGGTCCCAGTGGTTTAATGGTCTACGAGCTAGCCTTGTAACCATAGGGTCCTGGGCTCGAACCCCAGTGGGTGCGTACTGCTGAAGAGTCCCAAACTAGTCTGACGAAACAGCTATCCAGTACTCACAGGTTTTCCAATGGTTCTCTAACCAATGTCTGCTTGTGATCAGATCTGTAACCTATCAAATCCCTACAAACCAATACTTGAACGGGATGAAATTGCCTGAAGTTCTAATGGGCAGTCATAACTTGCAGAGTTCACCGATGTGTTGGGTATGAGGACAAATACTTGCCGATAACATTATCTGACGATGGCACGAAAAATTGCGAAATCGTAAAAAACGAAACTAATCCTTACAAACCAACTATAGAAAATTAATCTGATACTCGCTATTGACTTGCTACAGGACGCAGTTTCCTGGAGTTCCAGTGAGAAGTCGTGACCAGTGAGGTTTATCCAGTCACGTATGAGGATGGATGTCCCACCGACGACACTGGTTGGAGTCGCGCTAAATCACGAATTGGTAGAAGTTGGAATTCATGGGCTAGCTATTAGATCGGGTCCCCGTGGCTGAATGGTATATGAGCTTGCCTTGCAACCGGAAGGTTCTGGGTTCGAACCCTGACAGTGGGTGCGTAGCGCCAATGATTCCCAAACTAGAATGAAACAGCTGTCCAGCATTCCCTGGTTTTCAATGGTTCTCTAACTGATACCAATCCGTGATCAACTCGTAGAAATCGCAGAAGTTAGAAATGATAGACTATTGGATTATAACTCCAGTAAGTGAATGATCAACAAGCTCGCCTTGTGGCCTGAAGGTCCCAGTTTCAATCCCTGGTTAGTTCATAGGTGCGTATTGCTGACGACTTCCAAACAAGGAAGAAACGTTTATCAAGTATTCTATTACTGGTTTTCATCGGTTCTCTAAATGATCGCACTAATTGTTACAGTTTTATTATTCGTGTATTTTTAGCAATTCGATTAAGGTACAGTAATTTTTATTTGTAGTTAAGCATTTCAGTGTATACATAGCTATGTTCTTGAAGGATGTGATAAAGAAATACGGGAATTACCATAAGCGCATTCAGCAATAATATTGATGAAAAAATGGTGAGTAGAGAAATAGAATTTAGCAAAGGAGGAGACGACACTACTCAAAACACAAGAGGATAAATCTATATTGACTGTTACGACAGAGTGTCATCGTCTTGGTAGTAGAATACTTGTCAACTACAAATGTGGTCCGTGTTTAATCTCCGGCCACCGACGCACTCCTTTACCTCACTTAGCCAGTAATAAGACTGGTGAAGACGGAAGGTTGGGCATGAGGCTGGCTAGCAACCCCATCCCGTAAAAATAAACACACCACTGCTACCGAAACTGCAAAGCTCTAGCTTGAAGCTCTATATTCCTCTAGATACGTAAAGGAATAAATAATAATAATAACAATAATTCAATTCTATTCTAGTCACACACTGGTTAATCAATAATTTAACCACTTTTTGCTTAGCACTGAAAGTCATCCGTATTAATTTAATAATTTAACTTCTAATTTTCATATTCGTTCATTCTTTTTTATGAGAAGTGATATTTAAAAGTTTGGTGTAATACAACTTTAAAAAATACATATTGTCTCAATTAACTCTTTTCTTACTCCTACAAATGTAAAATGTTTAGGACAAAATGACATGGCGATCTAAATGACGACCAATCTGGTGTTTTCAGTATACATCAGTGTTTGAATGTTATTAATGCAGCCTAATAATTTCATTCACCTATTCCTTGCATTCGGAGAAAGTGGAGATGGATTGGACACTCGCTCGCTGAGGAGGCCGCTGGGTGACATCGCTCGCGCGTCAGGCCATCGCTCAAGTGGAACCAGACCGAAAGCGAAGCGGCGAGTGGGTCGTCAGTGCAAGGGAGACATGGAGGAGATCGTGTGAAGAGGAGTTGAAAGAGTATGGACTAACATGGATGCAGGTGAAAAGTACAGCAGAAGACAGAAGTGGCAAGTGAAGACGTGCAGTTGAAGCCCTATGCTCCACTAGGA